TCACATAAGAACATAAACGACCAAGTTTGTCAGATTACGTACGCTTGTATGATTTTATAATAGTTGGGTTAACATTGAAATTGAAGTCAGATAGAACATGAACCAACAACACCAACAATAGAAAATAAATAATAAGACATGACGTCGCTCAGCGAGATGACGTCGAGTTGATTTATTGCCCCAGTCATTGTCTCTTTGTTTTGCACTTTGGTTTCATGAGTTTGTGTTATTTGTGGTTTTGAATATTTACTGCTATGCCGTCCAGTTTCAAGTGCAAGAGTTCTGCGGAAAATCGCAGCCCGAAGCCTTTGTCGATCGGATAGAATATCTGCGATCGGTTGTAGTTATTTCCTTGTTTTGAAGCCTCCAATGCACAGACATGGAATTCTGTCCGCTCTTTAACTTCCACGAAATTGCATTGCATTGCACGCATTACTGACATTCCAAGTTGAAACAGGGATCAAATTTCGGAACATGACGAAGAATTCGAAGTGTCAATGACATTAACGACAAATCCGTTATCGAGCAAGATATTTACAATATTTCTAGTAAATAATTGAAAGCATCAATACCTCGATGAAGTGGTAAGAAAAGAATATATTGCAAATCAAGGGACAGAACTTATCAACATTTGCTTGAAAATGGGCACGAACTAAGTATTACGAAATAGAAAAAACCGACGAGTCTCGACGAGGTAAGCTTCTTCGCATGAAAATGGTCTGTGAATTTTAAACCAGCTGGCGCAAATTAAATATAAATTTCTTTATACAATACATACATATGTCCGCAATTTTGAAAACTGATTAGAAAACTTAATGCTTTGAAAATGTTAAATAACTTTGAAGCATTTTGGTTAACTTTTGCGAAATTCTATTTTATTTGTATTCTCTCCATTCTCGAATTTCGGTATAAAAAATACTTCGCTTTGGTGGAAAATGCTTCAATATTTAATTTCTGAAAGATAAAACAATATTTCGATAAATGGTTCACATGCTTATATGCATGTATATATGTATATAGCACATACTTATGTATGTACATACATATGTAACATATATCATTGACATTTGAATTATTTTATTTTGATTTTCAAAGTCAGAGTACAATGTCTATAAAGCGGTTCACACGACTAATGTTGGCACGAATTGCCAATTGCAATGAAGTTAGACCGTCTTGCTGGTGCAAAGAACGACACTTGCCACACAAAGATATGTGCGACGTGTGCCACGATTTATGGCGTGAACACAAACCGTACACAATGGGGAATCAAAAACATACTCGTAAGACAAAAATAAAACTAGTAAATAAAGTCGCTGACGTTCAGCCCAAACGAAAGGTACATAAGTATGTACATGGTTAAGCTTTTTCATATTGAAAGGGCCGTATTATTACTTAAACATATGTACTAATATAAATACATAGGTATGTATATACAACTTAATAAAATGCGAAGGCAAACCAAAACAATATAGTATCTTCTTTTCTGCCACCCTGTGCAAAACGGTGCATATGTACACATACAAATTAGAAGTTATAGGTATATATATATGTGTGCATGTGTTTATTTATATTTGCACTATGGCAACTAAATAGAACCTCAAAGTAAAATGGCAAAAGGACATAAGCGAAATCCACCTTGGAGCGTAGGGCGGGTTGTGAGCATTTTCCTTAGCAGTAGCAAAACTTGCGGGGTCTTGGAGCGCGCAGTTTTATTTGCAGTCATTGCCAGGGGAATAGCGGGATTGATACACAATTGTTAGAGAGTAATTTCCTAGAGGTTTTCATTATCTCGGCTATAGCATTTGCTAAAGGCAAATTTATTCTAGAAAAGTCGTTTTCCTCACTTGCAGTATCCGAGATGAAGTAGAGCTTATATCAACTATTTTTCTATCCCAAGGAATGCATGGACCAACATAATAAATTTGTCAGAATCGGAGTTAACTTTCACGCGACTTTCAAACGAACGATAGCTGTGGTTTTCAGCGGGCCTTTATGGCGACACACATACACACGCTTACATGGATAAAAATGTTTAAAGGAAACTCGGATGGTTGACATTGCTGTGTCTATCAGATACTAAGTATTAGACATTTCTTGCTAACCGAACAGCCAACAATACTGAGATATCTTATGTCTTAGTATATGTTTTAACGGTACATAAAGTAGCGTTATTTTATTAGCGACAATGTGCGGTTTCCCGAGATATGCCATCTGATTGTGTACAATAATACAAATGTTCATGCGAGTACTTATATTGTACATACTCACAAGCATGTACATATGTACATGTATGTACCATGTCTAACGGCAACAAACCTGCATCGGGTATGACAATAAGAATAACAACTGTTTTCTCTAAGAGAGCAAATCGACGACAAACAACAAACAGCAAATGAACCAGTACATAGCATAGCATAGCAACAGCAGTACCAAGTGGCAATGGTTGCCAATAAGCAATCGACAGTCGGCGACCAACAATCGACATCCGATAGCGGTCTGACAAGACAATTTACTTTTATTGTGTAAGAGATGGCAGCAGGAGGTAAAATGCCGTCAGGTTACTCTGCAGCTTGTGCGAATCTGGTGGCGAAGAGCGTTGAGAAGACGCGAATGGGTGACTAACGGTTAATAGCAACGAACGGTGAGCTCGTTTCTCAGCGCACAAATGCAGAATCGTGTTGGCCTGCGCATTGGAAAATGGAAGCCCCGCTTGTGGGAGACTACGTCACCTGCACGCTGCTAAAGTGTTTGACATTTTATTTATATTCGCGCTGGCGCATAAACATGCTTCATGCCTCGCCGTTGCCACTGTGCCGATGCGTTTTCGCCATTTCCTTTCATTTTTTTGAATCGTCTTTGGCATTTTCATTTTCCGCTGTGAACGCTTGCCAAGTCGCAGCATTTTGCTGAAGCGTGCAATCGCTTGGTGCAAAAAGAACAACCAGAAGCCAAGCGTGGGCCTTCAGTAGTTCATGGGAGGGAGAAGCAGAAGCAGGGGCAGTGGCAGTGGCATTTGAATGCACTCTTGCTGGCCGGCCGGCAATTTACACGTACCACGCTTCCAGCGGCAAGTGCAACGAACCAGTGCAACAATGCTGACACCAAGAGTTTTCGCTGTTGCAAGCGTGCATACTCGTACATACGAATGTGCTTGTGCATTTTCATAAATTGCTAGTTGTTAATGCACTTGAAAGCATTAGCAACAGCTGAAGAGGCGCTCCGCTTGGGCCAATTCAAAGCCCAATTGAATTTCGGTGATTGCCAAATATTACTGCTATTGTAACGGGTCTTTGCGGCTGCGGGCTGAGCTTTGGTTGTTTGGCTTTTGTCATTGCTGTCAGCGCTATTGTAGCTGCCATGTTGTTGTTGTCAACCGCTTAAGTCGCTTCGGCCGACTCGCGTTGTAATCTTTGTCGATTTGTTAAATTTCGTGAAAGGTCGCTGGTGATTGTTGTCGTCGGCATTGTTACAATTGTGTTGCCAGCGCGCGGTTTATTTGCTGTGGCTTAACTCCGCGGCGGCATAGCGATTATACTTCACTTTATGCACACACTGTACTTATGTCTATGTGTGTGTGCATGTATTTGCATTATTTTTCCATGTTGCATTTATCTATAACTTTTATTGTCCTCTTTATTGTTGTCTTTTCCGTAATTTTCCCATCTCTTTCAGTGGGTGTAATTTGGCTTTGCCTATTTTTTACGCCAATCCTATTTCCCATCTGCTGGTTGTCGTGGTCGCCGGTAAATATGTTCGGTGTTTGTGATTTTCCCATCAGCGTGAAACAGCTGCTTTTTTCTAGATAGCGATGCAACTTGTACCAAGTAGGAATGGTGAGTTTAAACTTTTATGTTGGCATTTACTGGTGCTCTACACCGAACCCGCATGGTCCAAAATTATTGCTTTTTCATGACCCGATTTTTAATGGTTTGGGGTATAATATTTCTTTGTCAAAGGTAGCAACACCGTTATAATATTTGCTTGTTAGGTTGCCCAAAAGAAAAGGTAAGTGTTGCTGGAAGATTAATGTAGGCAGAGAATAAGCTTTTCCGGACCCACATCTTCTGATTTTGAATATACTGATACAAACGATAGCAACTTAAAAGGCACTGTCGTTTTCTCTAGAGGGTGTAGATGACACTTACAATGATTACAATTCATAGTATAGCAAATTTTAATTATGTTTTCGTACTAAACTTTTTACATTTTACATCATCATGGTAATTTATGGCGAGATCATCTACGGCAACAATGCAAGCGTAAGACAATTAGTCATGTTAAATTTTTATTTATGGGTCTGGGTAGAAATACCATATACTTCTGTTATTTTTGCTTTAATAAGTAATAATGAAGCTTCAGTTTTATTGTTGGGATCCGCGGAATGGAATGAAAATACATATATATAGTGTTATTTTTAATGATCAATATTTTAAAACTTACTTTTCTGGGGAGATCAACGAAAGTATTTAAAACAAAATAAAGACAGTAAATTTATGAATATCTTACAGAAAAGTATTATAAGTCCATTTGTAGAAATTCCGTGAAAATGATAAATACGCAATTTAGTTGGGAAAATGAGGAGGTCTATGTCAAATATTTGGCTGTGCTTCTTACATGAACAAATATCCAGAAGCGGAAGCGCAACCCGGTCGACGTCAAGGTAAACTGATTCAAAACTAAGCCGATTCTGCCGTCTGTGTGAGCTTTGCGTTTTAATTTGTTTTAACTTTAATTATTTTAAAACTATCAGATGTGACAAACCTTTACCATGCATTTTATTATTTAAAATCATTTGTCTATTTAGGTTAATAGTCAAGAAAAATATTGCTTTGAACACAGGCTAAAATTGTTTGGAACTGGTGATGTGAAAAGAAGGGACATCGTAACAAATTTCCTGCATACACATAGTGAGAGGCCTCTAATGACTTTTGTTCAGATATTGGAGAAAGCTTAAATGTTAAGCATAATTTAGAATCTAAAATTCTTTATTTTGTACTCACATGACAACATCCTTATCTGCGCCTTTATTGGAACGAAGACGTAGGAGGGAATTCAGTTCTTTCATTACATCGCTTCCTTTACGTTCCAGCTCCGAAAATAATTCTGTATTGTCAATTTTATGTAGATCCGAACCACTTCGACTCTTTATGGAGCTAGATCTTTGAAAAAATGGACGATATGAGTGCTATTTTTAGCGAACTCTTTATTGAACTTACCGATCGATAGAATCCACACTGCTATGTATATCGAAATCCATCATTAGATCATCGGAACATATCGACTCACAGGGGGAGAGAGTATCGAGAGAATCAGCGCGTTCCATTACCGCCTTTCGTAGCGAGAGAGGTGTGCGAAGGCTCAACTCAATTGCTTGCTGGAGTGCACTGCGCGCCTTCGATTGGCTCTTCAGTGAACGTATTGAACCTGTATTTTCCATAAGTGTGGGGGTGTCTGTCTTATCTTTGTGTGACGTTAAGCTATCCACTAGATCATGTGCTTCACTGTTAAACAGCAATGCCGGTTGGTCAGCGATCTCATCATCAATCAAATTACCGCAATCGGAAAGTGAGAGCGAATGTGAAGCATGTGTTGGCGTTCCCGGTGAAATGGGACTACCCATTTCGAGTTCAGGTGAAATCTCATCGATGTCCTTCTCTTGCAGTTCTTCGTTTATTTTGTGCTTTTTCTGTTTGCTTGCGACTTCTTCTGATTCCGTGCTGCTAACCAGACTATCCGTGGGAGAGGTCTCGTCGTCCAAAAGATAAGTGCTGCCGGCTAAAGCCATCTCAGCAAATTTCGTTTCATTAAGCGTATTATAAAACGATTTCGGTCGATCTGGTTTATCAATATTTGTATTTTCCACAGATGCAACGTTGTTAGTGTTGGTTTCTAATGTTTTGAGTCCGGAATTGTTGTTTTCATTTGCCAAGTTATCAGTTAAGGAAGCTGAATGGGAAGAAAAATAATTTGTATTGGAACAATAATGGTGGACTCCTCTATTTTTATACTCACATAATGTACTGACTTGCATTTCGGTCACGATGCCACTTAAGTCATCCTCAATCAAGTCGACTGACATGTGCTTGAATTTTTGTAAATCGTTTTTCTCCGTGTCTGTGTCTTTATCCTGATGATTAAATCCATGAAGTTTATTACTATCTTCGCTGCTAATACTGAGGCTGCTACAATCCTTTACGGCAAGAGATTCTCCTGCATTGCACCACGAGAGCATTATGGAACTTCCTGGTGACGATGTTTTACTCGAACAAGTATTGATGTCCTTAAACTTCAAACGCAAAATTATTTTGTAGCTACAATTTTCATTTTCATTTTGCTTGATGATACTTACCCTGTTTCCTTTCTCTGAAGTAGAGCGGTCTAAGTAAAGCTTTTCCTCATCGACCCCTTCACTTTCTTCTGACGAATTCCGAGTTATAGTGCACTGTGCAGGCGCCGTAGTAGGGCGTTTTTCTTTGAAAGGTGTGCAGTAAATTGGATTGGAAAATAAAATCATTGAAATATACACTGTTATAATTTTAATCTTGTGGTGGCTTACCAATATCAACCTGTTTGATTTCCTGGTTGTCACTAGCGCTTCTATTACGGATGACACCACCATTTCTTTCATAAGTCTCTCGACTAAGTACTGTATTGGAACGCACAAGACCACATAGTGGAAGTGGGGCTGTTTGGTTTTCGTTTGGTAGCTTCGGCAAAGCTAGCGGCTCTACGATAGAGCTGGATTCACTCGATAAAGGGTCGTCCAGGTCACGTACTTCAAATTTGTGACGACCATTCATGACCATTTGCAAGTTGCGCGGACGACTGCGGCTCCGTTTAGGCGAGGCTGTGCGTCCAGCGCGACTGCCACCACCACTCGAAACCGAACTATCTAATGCCATGTCCATGCTGGCAATACCTGAATCCGCTGATATCTCTCGACTGCCTGAGAATCCACGCCGGGTGTTGTTTGCCATCTGCTTGGCCGTCTTCAAATCCATATGTCCGGAAGCGGAGTGTGCCACTGTGGCACAAGCGACCACCGTTAAGGGGTGCTGCTGCTGATTTTCTTTGGTACGTGCTCCCGCCACGCTAGTAGCTATGGTGGGGGACGGTGTGTAGATGCTGCTTGGTGTAGTTGGAGTTGTGGCACCCACACTGATGGCCACGGGAAATTCCGGCTTTGGCAAACTTACTGTATGCAATGTGAACTTGGAAAAACTGGCTGGCGGTGCGCGTGGAGTAGGACGGACACTACAAATGAAAGTGTAAAAGTGAAAGGGAATTCTCAATACATTTCTCGAAACACTTTTTAATTGTTGATACTATATGGTACGTGTACTCACATAACATTCGTGTGCATGCCCGTGCTGATGACATTTCGCGACTGATGCTGTTGCGCCTGATGCCCTGGTTGATGGGTCCAAACGTTGGCTGCGCTGCTGCGTCCACTTCCATAGCTACCATATGTGTTAGGCTGTTCGAAAAACTGTCGCCGCTGGTATTCGATTGTGCTGTTCTGACTCAAATTGAACGTTATAGATTTGGGTTGTGTTATTTTTGGGCGACCGGCTGCATCGCTGCAACTGCCCGACTCGCTAGTCTCATCGCCCGAAGTCAATGCCCTGCCGGCGTGTGCACTCTTCGATCGGCGCTTCACTGCAAAAAGTCAGCACAAAGATGTCTTAGTTTACTTGTGATTAAGGGAATTAGTTACATTTTTACATTTACAACAGTGCAGTCCATGGACATGTTATGTCTCTAGCACTTTTTATGGCTACTTTTATTTCTGTGTGACTTTAAAATTGCTTTTATTAGCCTTTAGCTCAATTTGAAAGTAACACACTGCACGATTGCACTGACATTTGCACGACTTGCAATCTGGCAGACCTTGCCACAAAATCGCAGCAGCGCTGCGCCACTCTTGGCAGCGTTCGCTCTCGCTGCCCGCCAATTGCTGTTTAATTGAGTTCACGGACTTGTCACACCGTTGCACCGAAGTGAACGGCAACCATTTACCAACAAATCAGAGGATACGAGAGGGGCAATCAAAATAAATCGATTTGCGAGCATTTACAGGTGGTGGAAATAAATACGTGCAACTTGTTGTATGATTTACAAACGGCTTGGTTTATTGTCTTTTTGATTACCACCATCAAGGTAAATATTTGAACGTTTTGAGACATTTACTCGTATGTATGTGGTTAAAAAAGTGAACGCATATACATTTAACAATAGTCAAATATTAATTATATGATCACTCTTCTACTATTTGGTAGTCTCTTTCCGTCTCTGTTTTCATTTCATTGCAGTGAACAGCTGAAATGTAGTTATAAGAAGTTACTGGATCTAAACGAAAAATTAGCAGGTGAAAGCCTTTTGAGACTTAACTGTCTCTCGTTTAAGGAATCAATAAAATAGTTTCTATGATAAGGTCAGAAACTAACGTTGGTAGAATGGACTGAGGATCTCTGCAATATTGAGAGTGAAACTAGTTGTTTTATTTCAATGGAGACTAAGTTTTCATCGCACAGTGAATAACTGCTGCTAAAGAAGGCTTGCCATAAGATAATACAAGTAGTAAGCCGGATTTGAAGTGGTGAAAGTAAAAAAACTCAGATTGCCTATCGTAGATTTATAAGAGGGCTCCCGTGTTATTTGTAGATGCGTATGTGACAACAACTTTTTCACTACCCAAACATTTGATTGTGTTCCCAGGCCTACACGCGGTACCTCACACTTTGTCCGTTATTACTAGACCTTCTACATATTTGCACTGCTGCACCCACTTACAGTTGCTCACAAGCGGTTTTTGTTGTCCATTAACTCCCACACCTCCACTCCTGGCGTCGTTGCCGTTGTTACCACAAGTGTTGTTGTTTTCCGCATTCTCCTGTACTTCTATGTGATAGTGTTGCGTTAAACCTGCCGATGCCGGGCGTACAATATTGCCGCCGCGGTAACCGAAGCGCGAGGCAACGCCGGGCAGGTCGGAAAACGGAGCGCCACCACCGGCTGCCGTGGCTTGATTGGAACGCTGCGTCGTTGCGGCCGCCGCACCCATTTTCTCAAAGTGTACCTTGGCCAGCAGTTCTGCTTTGGGTGAATGTTGGCAGGGTCGATGTGAACGGTGGCGTAGAGAAGGAAGGCAAAAAGACAGAAAGCAGCAAGTTTTTGGCGTGTCAGACATTCATAAGAGCGCAATAAAAATATAAGTAATTAGACTCCGAAGGAATAAAATGAAGTGTAGGGCAATGTGTGTGTGTGTGTGGCCGGGTGTGGGTGTGGGAGGTCATGCAAAAAGTTTGTAGGTGTATAGCGGTGTCTCTCGCACCCAAACACCTGTTGTGCCAAATTAATTATTTTGCAGGTGATTTGTTCCATTGAACTTTAAAGTAACCCGAGTTTACGTTTAACAAATTATTCATGCAATTCATTGCACAACTAAGTCATTGCACTCACCTGCATTACCATTATCGTCCTGCTGTTGTGCGCTCGTTATCGTCTCCCCATAGTGAGCGCCGTCTATCACAGTTGCCCGTTTTTCGTTATCCTCACTAGGTGTGTTGTCGTCCCGTGTTGTTGCTGTAATATTGTTGCACTTGTCTTGCTTCCTTTTTCCATCGCCACCAGTCATGCCGCCAACGCCGGCCTCCAGCAATTTCTTGAACTTCTTCGGCGTCGTGTTGAGCTTCTTGCGAAAGCCGAATGACATCGCAGTACCTTTGGTTTCGATGGCGCCCACTCCAGTGCCAGTTATGGCGTTTGTGGTGCCGCCATGCTTCTTCGAATGCCGTTTGCTCTCGGCCTGTCCCTGTAACGTCATCGTTGTTTCGTTAATTTTGTATATTCGTAAGTTTTATTACGTAAATTATACTTTAACAGTACAAAAATCAGAGACACAACGAATGATCACAAAGAATAAACTCGCTTGTGGGGCGATGGGGTTTATTGACCATTTTATTAACCACGATTACAGTGGAAACCACACGCATGGTTCAATTATTTTGTACTGCGTGGCGCTGTGGGACCAAATACTTTCAGCTTATACATTTTCTTTAAAAACCGAGGTTGAACTTATCGTTAATTATAAGATAGTTAGATATGTATTAATATAATATATATAAATAAGGTATTCATATAGACTTATATATTTCGGAAATATCAAATCTTGATAAGAAAATTCATATTTGTGTTTTAACCCAGCAAAAAAACAAAATAAAACTCGAAGTTTCCAGCTGCAAGGTATTGATAATGATCTTCACCTAAGGCTTAAAGTGCTCAAAATTAAATTCGGCTTTAGTTAACATAGGTCGATATTCCGATTCTATTACTACCCATTTACATAGAGAATGTTGGTATTACTACAATACTCCTTACTAAGCCAGAGTGTAAATAGTATGGCTTTGTAAGTATGTATTCTAAAAAATCCGACAAAATGAGGCGAAAAGGGCATGCTGTGTGCTTATCCGCCGCAAATAGTAAGACTCTCTTGTTGCAACTAATGCGTAGATATTATATATGTACAAATAAATATGCGAATATATATACCTATGTATAATAGTATGTGGGCTAGGGTGGGATGAAATTTATGAAAGGCCGAGCCCTATAATTGATTCTTTGAATTCATTTGGATATCACTCATATTCATAGCAAGAGCTTTAATTATGAAAACCGATTTGACTTTTCTAATGTTTCGCACATATACTTGTATCATGTTCAGTTGTCAAAAAGTACCCGACCTAATGTGACCTCAAATGGATGTGCGTTCATTTAAGCAATACATTCGCAAGTTCTCCGCTGTTAGGGTGGGGATATTCTTGGGTGTAGTGATGCTTGCCCCTTGCGGCGTATGTCATGTCACATGTGTCAATACGTCAGTTATAGTAAACACGATGAATCATACGAAATCTGAGCTTGTGACATGAATGCAATTAAAATACATATAGTATAAACCCTTATGGTCAGGTGTGTGGTCGAACAGTATTATCAACTGGAAGTTAAGTATTTAAACAAATCTGACCAAAAATTGATATGTTTTACTCCACAAATACAACACATAGATGCGGCTCAAAGGCTTTCTAGATTCACAGAAACAGAAAAGAAGTGTGGAACGCAAAGTGTGGAAGCCTGTGTATACTAGTGTTGCGGTGTGCGGAGCCCAAAATTGATTTGTGAAAAGGGCACAAGTGTCTCTGTACTTTTGATTCATGTTGCACCGTGCAATATATTTGAAGCGAGAGCGTGTGAAATGCTCAACCAGCATTATACAAGTATGTAATTTACCATTATGTCGCCCTCAGTTATTGCCTGCGTCAATTGAATGACTTCAGCGTCGTTATCATTGATTATTTCCTCTTGTTGTAGTATTTTGTCGGCGAGCTCCTCGTATGTCTCGACTGCGTCTTCTAAGTTAATGACGAGGTTCTCGCATTCATCCATCTTGAATGCTGGCCTATCAGTTTTGCAGCCCCCAGTTTAGAGGGTGGGCTTTCGTCTGCGCGCTGATGCCCCTCTTTTTATCCTTGGTCGCCGTTTTGAGCACTTCCTAGACCCAACGATGTAATTAGATGGTATATTTGGGTTTGTTAGTGGTACAATTTTCTTCAGAAAAAAATTAACAATTTAAATGTTGAGAAACATTCTATAGATCACCGCCTTATTAAATTGTGTACACTTGAATGAACAGCAGGTCCGACTTGGATTTTCACTTCGCAAACTGCACCTCACTAGCACTTTATTCACTGCTTCGGCGAAAGTCCTTGAAAATAATCACTCTCCTTGATGTCTACACTTTGTAAGCACTTTTTGGAAAATTCGCAAGCTTACACTGAATGCACTCTACTTATGAAAATGTTTTATTTATTACTGTTTACAGTTTGTTCTTTTAAATATTTGCCTTTTGATTTTCCTATCTTTTACTTTTCTAAATTTATTTTAACAATTTTGCTGCATATGATGCCAGCGTTACAGTGGTAATGTTTGTGGCAGCGAAAATTCTGCGAGTTTTCCTTTCGTTTTCCATTGCACGGTCTTTTGTGTTGGCCTTTTTCTGTGGAAGTCATTGTAGGCGGACATGCGCACTCACGGCAAAAGGTGTTCGTAAATCTTCACGTTACTGAAACTGTCAAGCGGGGGTTGTTGCCCTAGCGATTGTGACTGCGGGTATCCTGTTGCACCAGGAACAGCGACACCTGCCGGTATTTTCCGACTAAATCTTAGGGGTAGTGTATAGGGTGATTACGGGTAATGTAGAATTCTTATTTGCCTATTTGCTTTTAGGATCATAACGATTTTTTTGTTTTAAAAAAGGCATCCGAATATTACTTGAATTAAGGTTCAGAACAAGATATGATAACAAATATATTACAAACAAGTAAGAAAGAGCTAAGTTCGGGTGTAACCGAACATTTTAAACTCTTGCAACTTGCTAAGATCAAAGTAGGGAAAATACATTCAGATATAGCAAAACTTTATATTAAACTAGAAAAATGTTTCAGCTGCACCGAAGCACTAACACCCTTCACGGGGTATCTTTTTGTATACATTTACGTTTTCTCAAGGTCAGTGACCCCATGTTTACATTGTATGAGGTCAATGAACCTTTTGTTTACATTTAGCCAAATCCACAACCTATTTAAGATTTAGCGAAGTCCACAACCATTTAGCGAAGTCAACAACCTTTGTTTACATTTAGGGTCAGTGACCCTTTTGTTTACACAACCTATTTTCGATTTAGCGAAGTCAACAACCT